CAGGTTCCTGGTATGACCTGAAAAAAAGCCCTTATGTCATACCTAGCTCCCAGTTGCCACTTAGCAGGGCGAGGCTTCCCCCGAGACCATGTTGCATGTTACCCTGTGAACAAACCAGGGTTCTCCATGCACCTTCTACTGTACAAATACGAACAACCTAAATATCTGAGTACTGATGAAACATTGGAGGTGAGCAGCCAGCACGGGCCACAGCAACTCAGCGTGCAATAGTATTTAGGGAGGAAATATTACAAACAATTGAAGTAGGGTCTTACAAGAACAGTCTATGGTTTGTGATATGATCATAAGCGGGCACAAGCTGTCTTAAAGAACCTTTAGCTAGGAAAGGGGGCAGAAGCAGAAGCCACGGACGTGGACAGTCACCCTCACGGAGTTGAAGAGCAAAGTGTGACCCATTCAGCTGCTTGCATTTTCCTGATTCTCAGACATTAACTGCACTTTTTGAGGCAATGGGTCTTAGGGATGTTTGGTGAGTCCATTGCTCAGGTCTCTCCACACAGGTCACAACTAGCAGCCACAGCACATTGGACGAGAATGTGGGGGCATTAGCAGAGCCCACGGTCTGGCTTTGAGAGAGAGAAAGCTACATTGGGAGAATAAAGGAAGAGCGGACATCACCTCAGGACACTTGAACATATGAGAAGGTCTTACCTACAGATGATACAAGTGCAAAAACTTCCAGCATCACATTACAATACAGAAGCCTCTGAGCCTCATCAAGGAGCCCCCACTCCTCCTGAGAGAAGGCAATGGCCACGTCCTCAAAGTCCATATCCTGTCATAATAGAGACAGTTCAGTCCATGATCAGCTTCTCTCCTAGGATTTTACCTTCATCATATCCCCCACCATCCACATCCATCCTCTTCCTCTACTACCTACAATACAGTAGGTGCCAGGCCTTGGTGTCACCAAGGAAACCCTCTGCTTATATTCCTACTGATACTGTGTCTTCCCCCAACAATAAAGACCAATGACAAGGGAGATTATACCTTAACCTGGGCCTCACATTAGGCCAAAGGCCACAATGTCTCTTGTCCATTACCTCGGGTGTGACCAACAAGGGGAGGGATAAATGTTGGCCATAAAGGGAGTGTGAATGATTCGATGCTGGTCTTGTTAGGCAATATCCTTGCAGTCCCCCAGACTGTCCCTGCAAGACACCAGAAACCATAGATTCACACTTCACCCTTTCATTCCAAAACCAGGGTGCTGAGGCCATCACTTTGCACTACCTGCTACACATGATTCTTGAACCACACTTCTCCCACACAGCTTCTTCTCAGAGGCACAATGTCACACATAACACAAATATGCCATCATGAGGATGGTGGTTTCCTAACCAACATCTTTTCCAAAATCATAGTTCACCTCCTCTGTAACGTGTTTCTCTCTTACCCTCTATCTTGTCCATCTAGGGGAGACCTGATGTATGCTACCTCATTCCTATTGATCACTGTAACAACCCTCAAAAACAGGCAGGTGTGCACATACACTGAATGGCCAGATTATTATGACCACCTGACGTTTGTATGCAAATTAGCCGTACACTCCATCGGATGGGATATGGAAGCAGAAGGCCTGTCAAACGCCTTTGCTGTCTGCAGTTACCAAGATAAAACCTCTCCAATTCGCACAGGAACACAAGGACTGGACAGTCGAGCATTGGAAAAAAGTCATGTGGTCGATGAATCACGTTT